TGACTTGAAGACTGCAGTCCACAAACAGTCACCATCAAATTGAACTGAACTTGAGCAGTTCTGCGAAGAAGCAGACAAATATTGCAAAGTCTAGATGTGCAAAGTTAGTAGAGACAAATCCCAACAGACTAAAGGCTGTAATTAAAGCAAAAGGTGGTCCAACAAAATACTGACACAAGGGGGTGATCCTTTTTTCAACTCTGTTTTTGACATGTTGGTGTTATATGTTCCTCTTTGATGTTATAAGTTGCATTGAGTAAATACAGATGGAAACAAAAACGGTGTCCATCTTCATTCCAGGCTGCAAAGCAACAAAATGTGATTATTTTAAAGGGGGGTGATTCTTTTCTGTACCCACTGCACATAGATAAATAGCAGACTGTAGCACACTCTTCTTCTACTTTACTCCAACTTTGTTCATGACTCCGTTTAGTGTAATTCAATGTGTTGCTGATTGGTTGAATCAACAGTGAGAGTTTTTTTTTTAAATCCAGATAATGAGTAGGCTAATAGGTATTAATAGTAAAAAAAAACAAAAACAAAAAAAAACTTTTACTTTCGTAATGAGAAGAAGCTAGTATGTCCAGACCAACAGCCCCATCTGGTGGTTGGTAAATACAGAAACTTCACTTTAACAAATTGTTAACGACTAAATGGGTTAATAATCAATGATGGTCATCAACCGCCTATGTTGCCGTTAAAAACTTCCGATATAGTATCCTCCCTTAGCAAAATAAATAAATAAATAAAATTCAGTCTATGTTGCGAACTGTGGTGGTAGAAAACGTTCTCTTATTTCTAATAACTGTCTGTCGATCACAACTAAGTATATTATAATATAGCCTAGTACATTACACATATTTCTAACTATAGTAAACATTACATTTTAGTAGACCTATACTATATTAAACAATTAATGAATGAGTTACAGAAAATACTTTTATTGGATCTTGTGGATCGCTGTCAATATTGCTCTGTTCTGCTGTGACTTCCTCAAGATTTAATTTTGTGCAAAATTTTCTCACAATTTCCATACACTGTGATGCACCGGAAGTTGCAGTGGTCAGGCAATAAATGCAGAATCAAATGAACGAATGAATGAATCAGTCAGTCAGTCAATTAATATGAAATATTCCAGAAATATCCATACATTCTATGAAAAATGTCTTTCCTATCCCTAGAACACGTACTAACTCAAAAATAAATACAACTGCCGGTAGATGCATCTTCTGTACAAAATACTAATTGTTTTGTCGATTAAATAAAATGTAATGATAATTTATATAGCCTAATAATTTCTTCACATAATTATGTACATTGCAATAAATTCATAAATGAATGAATGAATGTATAAATAAATCCCTCCTAAACCGGAGTGCCAGAGCTGAGAGGGAGGTCCCCCCCTCTTCAGTCCGTAAGCGTTCATCCGGGTCCTGGAGTCTCAGCACACGCTGACCGCGGGTGTTCATCGCTATTAGCCATTAGCCGACTAGCCTTCAGCTTCCATTGAGGACACAGTGATGGTATGATAGAGCGTTTGTGTTTCAAAACGGTCCCTTCTTATCACCAAGGCTACCGCATCGATTTTGTAGAGCATTACTGTATTTTTTCTCTCGTCCGATCAACTTTACAAGAAGTTTCCATTGCTTATTGCATTATTTAAGAGCGATGTGTAAACTGGCTGGCTAGCCTGTGAGGGACACTTAAGTTATCCTAGCATGCCATCTGAATAGAGCCGATAACGTTATATATATATCACATGCTGTATGTCAAAAATTCCGTGCAGTTTCTACTTGTTCTGAAGAACATTATATTTGAGCGATAGATGTATTAACAGACTAGCCGCTGGAGACCGCCATTTTTTATGAATTAAGGGAGGGAAATTTGAGCAACATATAAGGAGTTTGAGGGGAGAAACAATTGATATGACTGACTGTATTTAATTTTTCTCTGTGAAAAAAACAACGTTTTGAAATCCCAATACATGTGGATGAGGAATCTCACTGTTAGCTGTGAGCTAGAGTACAGAAATCCGAGGAATATTTTAAGATATCTGGACTTCTTCAATACTAATCCAACCAGGATTTGTCAGTAATTTACAGACGAGTGTGAGGTGTGATTTCTTAAGTCAGTTTGACACTTAAGCTTGAGCAACAGAACCTCAGGAGTGACATTTCAGCTGCGAATGCAAATGGCATTCAACTACATATGCTCTCTTTGAGAGCATTCAAGCGTTGAATTGAGTGTCTGCTGTTTTTCTGTATCACACAATGAGCTTTCAGAGATGTGAAGTAAGTTAAGTAATGGTTCCCAGATTGAAAAACGGATAGTATTCTCAGCTAATTCAGTAGCACATTTTTTTATTAAGTGCAATTAACTGATTGTTTGAGGCACTTTGAGGAACTAGTATCACATGCACTGGTGTCCTCAGAAACGTGCCCTTTCATAGATGAATATGCAGCATGATTGGAAAACTCGCAGAACTGCCAGAATGTAAGTTATGCTTGTGTTGCCAAGTGGGCAAATTTAATGTTTTCACTGCCAGATCCTTGGGATGGATGTTTTGCCACGGTCTTTCTACTTTAACAGTGTTTTGAACAAGATCCTGTTTCCTGTCTTTGCTATTTAATTTATTTTGTCATTACAATAATCATTTCAGTTGTCATTATGTCAGTGTTTCCTGCACTCAGGAGATGTACTGCACTGCAGCTCATGGCACAATGTTATATTGACAATAAATATGCAAACTTATTGAGTTATTTTTGCTGACAGCATGTAAGAATGGTCATATAGTGCAATATGCTGTCCAGCTTGTGAACAAATCACTCAACTGGGTAACAAACCAGTATGTAAAGATTGGCAATCAGTGCCAAAACAACGTCCTGTAGGAAACCCTTCATTTTATGACTTTAATATTGCAACTACAGTTGTTGTATGTACTGCTTATACCTAGTATAACAGTATAAAGTTACCTAGTATAAAGTTTTAATTTTCAATGCATGCTTATCATAGTTAATGATGCTTTTTATAAACTCAACTGCATTGCTTCATGAAAAATGATCAGAATGCATTTTGCAGAAACAGACTTAACATTAGAAACATAAAAGGAATAGTTTACCCAAGTCATCCAAGATGAAGTTTAGTTTGTTTCTTTCTCAGAACAG